TGTCAGGTTGGATGGGGAGCGTTGCTGCACAGCTATTTTCAGGTCTCTCCAGAGATATTCGATCAGGTTCAAGTCCGGGCTCTGGCTGGACTACATTTTCCCCATTTGTGCAACTTCTGTAAGTGCCTCTACTCTACTGCTCTATGCTACTATGCAAATGCGATGATATTCATGTAATGCTTAATGATAAGGGTGATTTTTTTTCTCATGCGTTGCGGTACCTCAGAACTCCCCCACCCCCCTCTCACGCTCACTTTTTGTTCCGGCACCTCCCGATTTACAAATTAAGCACTGGATTGGTCTCTGAAAGAACCTGACTGTTCTTATGTGTTCATGATTGGCCTGTGACTGGGACTTTCCCTGAGTTTGGTATTAAAGAGAAAACACCAGCATTTCCTATGAAGAAAAAAAACAAAGAGCCTTGTTTGATCAATAGATACCAGTGGTCAGACCGGATTTCCTATGTTCTATGAAATGAAACTAAACTTGCATTCTTGGCAAGAAAAGTGGTTCAATGGTGCACGCACTATCATAAGCATCATGTTTATAACACATAATTTCTGATTGCATAGGGACCCAAGTCTTTCTCTCCAAGTGGCACTATTAGCAATTGTGGACTACAGGAGACAGCAGAGAGAGCACACCCCCATCCACATCGACGGGACCGCAGTGGAGAGGATCAAAAGCTTCAAGTTCCTCAGCGTGGACATCACTGAGGACCTAAAATGGCCCCTTCACACCAACAGCGCCTCTCCAACCTCAGGAGGCTGAAGAAATTCAGCTTGGCCCCTAAGACCCTCACAAACTTCTACAGATGCACCATTGAGAGCATCCTGTCAGGCTGTATTACCCTATGGTACAGCAACTGCACTGCCCGCAACCGCAGGGCTCTCCAGAGGGTAGTGCAGTCAGCACAACGCATCATCGGGGGCACACTGCCTGCCCTCCAGGACATCTACAGCACTCTGTGTCACAGGGAGGTCAAGAAGATCATCAAGGACCTCAGCCACCCGAGCCACAGCCTGTTCAGCACACTCAAAAGGCAGAGTCAGTACAGATGCATCAAAGCTGGGACCGAGAGACTGATAAACAGCTTCTTTCTCCAGTCCATCAGACTGTTAAACAGTCACCACTAGTCGGCAATCAGCCCAGTACCCTGCCCTGAACCTTAGACACTGTCACTAGCCGGCTACCACCCAGTGCTCTAACCTGTACCTTAGAGACTGCTGCCCTATAGATTAATTGAACCCTGGTCACTTTAATAATGTTTACATACTGTTTTACCCACTTTATACAGTATGTATATAATGTATTCTAGTCATGGCTCATCCTACATAACTACTGCTATACACACCTTTTCTATTCACATACAGTCCATACTGTCTATACACACCATTCACATACAGTGCATTCGGAAAGTATTCAGACTGTACATACTGTATCACACTGTACATACTGTATATACACTGAGTGTACCAAACATTAGGAACACCTTCCTAGCATTGAGTTGCACCCCCCCCCCCCCCCCCCCCCCCCCCCCCCCCCCCACCTGGATTCACCTGGACATTCTTAATGTTTTGTATACTCAGTGTATATTTATATTCTGGACTCTGGTCCGGAAGCTAATTGCCTGCAATTCTGTCCATTTTGTCATGGGGTTTTGTAATGTTTATTTAAATACTGTATTCTCGACATAGCTCATTCTAATATTCCTACTACTATACATTGCATTTTAATTACACTGTTTATACACACCGCATATTTATCTATATACTGTATTCTTGACATAGCTCACTCTAATATACACTCAGTTTATTAGGTACAACACCCCGTTCATGAAAATGGTTCGCTCCTACAGACAGTGAGTCACGTGGCCGTGGCTTGCTATATAAAGCAAGCAGAACAGCACCGAGGCAGACCGGCATCGAGGCATTCAGTTACTGTTCGATTGAACGTGAGAATGGGCAAAACGAGTGACCTAAGCGACTTTCAGCGTGGTATGATCACCGGTGCTGAGCATGCCGGTTCCAGTATCTCAGAAACGGCTGGCCTCCTGGGCTTTTCGCACATGACAGGGTCTAGGGTTTACAGAGAATGGTGCGACAAACAAAAAAAATCCAGTCAGCGGCAGTCCTGTGGGTGAAAACAGCTCATTGATGAGATGTCGAAGGAAAATGGCAAGAATCGTGCAAGCTAACAGGCGGGCCACAAACAGGCAAATAACGGCACAGTACAACAGTGGTGTGCTGAAAGACATCTCGGCTAACAGGCTGGTGGCGGTGGTGTAATGATGTGGGAAATGTTTGACCTGCACCCCACCTCCTGAGCCCCCAACTCAGACTGCCCCTCCCCTCAGCAACTTCACAGAAGTCACATCCACTGCTGTGCAGTCAATCATCTTTAAAAGGAAGGCCACCACTTGCTCCCTTGACCTGTCCCTATACCCCTACTCAAAACCTGCTCATCTAGCCTGCTTCAGTTTGTCACCACCCTCATCAACAAATCTCTACTGCCCGGGGAGGTACCATCACTCTTCAAAACAGCTGCAGTCACCCCCTTACTGAAGAAACTCAACCTTGACCAGGACATCCTATCCAACTACAGGCCCATCAAAAGTACTGGAGAAAGTATTGACGGTCAAGCAATCCATCTGTCCTCTGTCATCTCCAACCTGTGAGTCAAGTTTGATCCTTCTTTGTCCTTTGATGCCCACATAAAACATATCTGCAAAACATAATTTTTCCATCTAAGAAACATCGCCCGGCTCCAACCATCGCTCTCCCAGCCAGATGCAGAGAAACTCGTCCACGCCTTCCATCTTCTCCCAGATCAACTACGGCAATGCTCTGTTTGGGGGGCCTTCCAGCCAAATCACTTCAGAGGCTACAACTTCTCCAGAATAGTGCTGCTAGAGTCCTGACCAGGACCAAAATGTCATTCCACATCACCCCCTTCCTTGCTGAACTCCACTAGCTACTGGTCAACTATAGGACTGACTTTAAAATCCTTCTCCTAGTATTTATAGCCTTGAATGGATTGATTCCCACCTACAACAGCAAACTAATTTTTATCAAAGAGCCGCTCCAGCAACTCACCACTGCTTCAAGCCCCCAAGACACATCTCCGTACTATGGGGGACTTTGCCTTCTACTGCCTTGCCCCTCGCCTATGGAATGCTCTCCGTGACCATCTGAGAGCCACTCCATCAATCAGAACGTTTAAAATGAGCCTTAAAACACATTTCTACAGACTGTCTTTCTTATAGTCCGAATTTGGAAAGTCACTTTAGCACCTAGCCTACTATTGCTATTTCCTGCCTTGATTCTAAATGTATGATGTATTTATAGTATTTTAGCTATTATGTTTGTCATTATTTTTGCCTATGTAGAGCTTTGAGATAACACTGTAATGAAAAGCTCTATACAAATTAAATGTATTATTATTACTACTAAAAAATATATATCATACACCAGCTTAAATATTCAGAACAAAAATACTTCAAATTGAAATTAAGTTTTTCTGAATGATATAACACAATACTGCTATCAAGGGCGGAGTTTTTATTCCATGCATTTCTGTTTAGCATTTTTTAAATGCCTTTTAAAAATATTAATCTCATAAACAAATAAACTGCTTTCCCTCCATCCAACTCCAAGAAGATGACATCATAGGGAGGTCATAGACTGATCATAGATTCTGTGTTGCATTGTGCCCAAGAAGAGCCCTTAGCCGTGGTATATTGGCCATATACCACACCCCCACCGTGCCTTATTGCTTAAGTATAAATGGAGTATAAACCTGCTTTATTTAGATTTCTAATTCTATTTGGCTATCAGTGCTTGGATAGTGTAACAAATAAGTTTAGCATGTGTGTGTGCTTGTATTTAAACATTATTTTTACATGATACTGTACAATCAATACAATCCTCATTCAGCCCTCCTCTTCAAACTGTGATATCCCAGTGCCCTCTAGTGGGAGAAATAACATGTACGTTTCAGTCAAATATATTTAGGTGGTGACCATATACTAGTCCATTAGTAGGCTGTAATATATTATATGTTCATATATCACCAACCATCACTCACAGACCTTGGAACTATATTTCTATGACACAACAATGATAAAGGCTCATTACTGTTAGGAGCACATTAAAGTAGTAATGGGTGAGACTGTCCCTAATCAGAGCTGGGATTGGGCAGTTGACAAAACTAAGGGCTCTATTCAATCAGATTCGCTTTGGCTGACATCCGCATAACGGTTGTTCTGGTGGTGTCGGATGTGGAACTGTATTAGAGCTGTCAAATCCACAAGCAGCTCCTGGCATTATACCTAAAGCGGACATTGCCATTGGCTGCATGGAGTCGCATTAGGAGAAATTCCATGCAGCCTTGTTTACAAGTTGGAACACTGTAATGTGCGATGTAATCTACACCTTGATTAGGCTGATAGAAATCCTCATTATTTTGTTTAATACATTTACGTCATTATTTCTATATAGCCTATACTTTCTCACTCTGAACTTCTAATGCGAGTGGGACAGGTGTGGCTTTGTGACAATTATCAAGAGCAGCTGCTCACCGATTTGACAGCTCCAACGTATTTACATGTCCGACAACGCCAAAACATCAGCTATGCGGGTGTTGGCTATCGCTGGTTAATGCTTGATCTGATTGAATCTAGGCCTAAGATCAGTAAAGTCTAGATAGGTTCAAAACCATAAACTCACACAATTTTCATTTCAAGCATTAGCAGTGTTTTATTGCATTGTTAGAAAGCGTAAGCGTTGCATAAAGTGTTACAGCCAAATACAGCAAGCATTTGGTCAGATTGTTTTGATAGCAATAAGCAGAAACATAGGTAGTAGCAGTAGCAGTAGAAATATTGACAGAGATGATTTTGCAGAGTAGTGCAAAGGGTTTGGAGGCAATGGAGAGTCAGCGTAAATTGTCAGATAAAGGTCATGCAGAGGTCAAGCCGGGTTCACAGGCGAGGTCGTAGGTCAGGCCTTGGGGTCGGCATAGAGCAGGAAGCCGGTGAAGGTGCTGTCGTCTTCGCTGCTGGAGTAGACTCCGTTCCAGTCCCTCAGCGTCTCCAGCCATACCTGGTCCCCTGATGCCAGACGCAGCAGAGCCAGATTGGACGCCTGGTCGATGTCCTGACCGTACAGGGAGTCACGCGTGCGCAGCTTTTTCACGCCATTAATCACCAGTGCGACGCGCAGGGGCCGGTTGCGCACGGTGATGTGGTAGGAGAACACATAGACCCCGGGGTGGGAGCAATTGAACTTGCTGAGCATCGGGTCCCAGTGTTCCTCCTCGTTGTAGAGGACCTTGTCAAACTTGACGGGCAGGCCTGGAGGGGGGAAGGACTTGCTGGGAAAGAGGCCCACGCTGAAGGCAGAGCGTATCTGCTCTGCGGTCTCCCCCTGGGGGCCCTTGGGACCCCGCACACCCCGTGGGCCCTTGGGGCCTTTCTCTCCCTTCGGCCCAGGCATGCCCCTCAAGCCTGGGGGACCTGGAGGCCCCCGCCCCCCTGCCTCCCCTTTCCCTCCCGGGGAGCCTATCTGACCCCTCACACCTACAGGCCCTGGTAGACCATTGGTTCCGTTTACTCCTGGGGGTCCCACCCACCCCCTCGGCCCAGGGGGGCCAGGTAAGCCCGCCTCCCCTTTCTCTCCCTTCTCGACAGTTGCACACTCCCCCATCTCTCCCTTTTGGCCATTCTGTCCCATTGGGCCAGTCAGCCCGGAGGGACCTACAGGGCCTATTCTACCCATGTCACCTTTCTCGCCCTGGGTCCCATTCCGCCCAGGCTTTCCCCTTTCTCCCGGGTCTCCTTTCAAGCCAGGGAGGCCTGTTCCTCCTTTTTCTCCTTTGGGGCCCAAGTCACCTGTGAGAAGGAACTTAGTCGCTTACTGTAGCAAGAAAGTCTTTGATAGTGAAACAACAGTTGACATTCAGTCTAATAAGATTACTATTCTCCCCTAATATAGTGTGGTATTCTAGCAATAGCATTATACTAGTGCTACTCTGCTTCTACACTCTGATGACATTTAGGGAACATTGTATACCTTTCTGTCCCTGTTTCCCAAGTATCCCTGGATCACCAGGCATCCCCATGTCTCCTTGATCTCCTTGGTCACCTATCAAATAGAAAGAGAGAAGGATTGGTATCTTAAACATGTGGGTATAGATATCATTCCCCAGCATCAATACTCAAAGTTACAGATTTGTTGAAATCAGCACCAGAAAGCGACGTGTTCAGGAATGAGATAAGAGATAGCATAGTAGCTAACACTTTGGACTATAAATGTAAAAACCCAGATTACATTCTTTAAACGCCTACACCAGTAGAAATCCACTTTTTCGAGCTGAAAACGATGGACAGAGTTTACCCATGATGTTGCACAACAATTTAAGTCAATAATTCATCCTTTCTTTTAGTCAAAGTATGATATATTTGGGCTTAAAGTGACAAATCTGAACTGCCCACTTCATGCAAATCCGTGTAAATTCTGTGTCTTTTCCTATGATATGACATACAAATGATTTTCTGCCTACATTTCAATTCAGGGCTGGGTTTTATTTGAATGTTACCACCAGCATGGAATTGTTTATGAATCAGAAACAGCTTCACAGTTAATCCTTTTCGTGACTGAGATGAGCCAAACTGCCTTGTGTCTACATGGCTGCCTGAGCCGTGGCACAAATAGGGGGTTCAAACGTATGTTTTTACACCTCCATAGGATAATTTGTCAATTTGTCACTGTTTTTTAAGATAGTCTGTATCATTTTTTTTAAACAAAAAAAAAATATATAACCATTTTATAAATGGTATAATTAATTGCGTGAGAACCATGAGCACAGGCTGACTTAGCTTTGCTGTACCGCAGCCAAAGTCTGCCAGCAGCCTACCTAACAAAGGGTGCACCGTGTCCATTACAATGTAAGAAAATGCATATCAGCTATCTTTCAATAGTTATCCATATTACCAGAGTTTCATCTTATTCTTTCTAACTATTTAAATGGCGGATTCGCAGCCGCAATTTATGGAAGATGCCAAAACTTTGGAGATAACACTAGCTAGCTAGATAAGGTTAGCATGCTAGCTAGCTACACTGACAGCTGTCAGTGCCATCTTTGTTGATGTTTATCATCTCCACGTGGAAATTCCCACACCCAATTCGTGAATATGTATAAGTAACCTTCGTCATTCTTCCGAGGTGAAACCAAAATGTGCAATTCCTCTCTAGGTCAGGAAATTATGTTGAAATAGTGGCGGCAACTTCCTCTGGGGAGGTCCTTTAACAGTTGTATATGAGAGTTGGCAAGCTAACCTTTATCTCCTTCAAGTCCAGTAGCTCCAGGCATACCATCCAGTCCAGGAGGTCCCATAAGTCCCACATCCCCCTTCTCTCCAGGTACACCTGAAAGAAGACAGGGGGAAGGAGGGGAAGAGGTAAGGGGGTTGGGGATATGAGGAGCTATTTAGGAGTACACACCATGCACACACACAATATATGCAAGTACACCACACACAAACTACGAGTCATGGTCACTATCCACTACAGTCACGATCTCTATGTATACTTTTAGTCACTTTGTAGTGAAATCGACACAATTTATATTATTTAGTCTACCTGGAAGTCCCCTCTCCGCTCTCGGCCCTGGGGGTCCCCTCTCCCCCGGGGGCCCCATTGGGCCCTTCTCAGGCGGGCAGCATTCGCAGACATTTAAGTAGCACTGGCTGTAGTCCAGGGTGTAGTTCCCCAGGCCGGCCCCCGGGGGCGCCATGGAGTCTGTGTGGAACTCTGTGGGGTAGGTGTCGACCGCGTAGGTGGTGCTGTCAGTGGGCGACAGGGAGTAGGCGTCCGTCATGGTATCCTCTGTGGTCTCGTCGGTGCCCAGGCTACTGGAGGAGGCCATGGTGGTGGTGGTCTGCCTGAAGCCCAGACGGGCCGGCTGGTCACCACCTCCTCCCCCTCCACCACCTCCTCCGGTGCCACCTCCGCGAGGGGGCTTCTTGGTGTTCTGAGGCTTGGGTCTGCGGGTGGTTCTGGCTGCAGACGACTGTGTCGCCATCACGACCACCACCAGGAGGGTCGTTAGCATGGCGAGCAAATGAAGAGAGGGCATGTCAGTGGCTTTTGGTGTGCGATGATCTGAGAAGGGGAGGGAGAGAGAGGGAGAGAGAAAGAGAGGTAGGGAGAGAGAGAGAGAGAGAGAGAGAGAGAGAGAGAGAGAGAGAGAGAGAGAGAGAGAGAGAGAGAGAGAGAGAGAGAGAGAGAGAGAGAGAGAGAGAGAGAGAGAGAAATGTAGAGATAGGTAGAGATAGGTAGAGAGAGAACATAGATGAAGGTAGTAAATCACATTAAGTAACAAGTAGCTATCAATTCATGAACAATTCTGAGGACTGACCAAAACAAAAAAGTTACCTCACATAAAAAGTTACCTCAAATGAAGCACTCAGTGCTTACCTTTAAATTAAATGGTTTGCTGGTCACTCCATTCCCTGCATTTGGTGGTTTCAACAACAAACGTCTTCCCTTTTATTGTGTCTGCTAGCCTCTTGCCTCCATAGCTTGACCAATGAGAGGAGACTAAGGGACACACTGGGGATTATGAGGAAGGGTGGGTTGGCACGGACACAAGGTGAGAACCTGAGGGATATGGTCATCAAGTGCTAGAATAACATACTACAACACAGGACTTTCTTTCCTTTCACCTTGTGTCTTTGTGATGTGTGATATGATGTTATATATGGCTGCCACAAACAGACGTGCATGCGCACAAACACACACACAGACACGCGCACACACACACAGATACACGCACACAAACACACACACACCTGTTAGTAATGGATCATACCCCATCTGATATGGTGGCAGGACCGTACGGTCAGGCGTCAGGACGACCACACCACATTGGCACCGCCTCAAAGCAGAAGGGTCCAAAAACACAACCGCAGAGGGAGGGATACATTTCTCAAACGAGCCTCCATAACCACCTTGATCTAACATCCTACCAACCTTTAGGAAACCCAGTACTGCTGACTTTTACAACTCCTCTCAGAGGGCTTTATGGGTAGGATGTCCACCCTCTACCTTGACACCGGATGGGGTGTGGTTTGAGGTTTGAAGTTTGAACCCCCTCTGCTGCTGCCCTGTGGCCTGGTCTGTGAAACCAACACCAACAGTCGCTATTGGTACATGCTCCTCTGAAGCTATAGGTGCCTCATGACAGGTTCCTACTCAAGGCTCTGGTGAAGGCCTCCTACACAGAAACACAAGCCTGCTTGATTGTCCCGTGAATAAAGTAATGATCAATGCAGACACAGAGAGCACCTTTCTCTTTATTTTTCATGGGATAGTCACCTGGTGAAGTGTCCTGAGGTAAGGATTTTTTTTGGAAGTTGGTACAGGTAGGCTTAAATGGCTTTAGAATTGTAATCACATTCTCAATGTGCTTTTTTTCCGAGTGTCCACTAGCCATGCGCTTTGGGGGTAGGCCCAAACATATGAAACACAGAATGTAATTTTTGCTTTCCGCAATTATGTTCTTCAATCAACAGAGAGGGAGAGAATCAACCAAAGGAAGCTAAGATACAGGGACCTTTGTTTAACAAATCTAGGCTCACATTTGATATCCAGCGGCTGTTGCCTTAAGATCATATTCTTGCAAGTGAGAACGTCTGATGAATATGCCTGTGGGACCACTGTGTGGTGCAAAATTGCAGTGAATTCTCTGGGTTCGACCATTTCTGGCTTGTGGAGTGAAACCTGTAGACACACGGCCCTCCAGGAATTTGAGTTTGACACCCCAAATCCCCAATATATCTCAATGAGAGGTTCCTAATAATGTGGTCCATATTATAGCCTGGCTGACACCTAACTCAAAGTCTTCCTGACTTCAGAGTCTGGAAAGGCTCGACGATGTGGTAAGCTCGATAATGAAGGGGTCTGTGCTTTTTTTACTGATTGGTTCTCCTCCGTCTCTTTCTCACTTCAACACCAACATGGACAGCCACATACAGTCCCCGAGCACTGCCCCCTTCCAATACAAATGTTGGATTTTCAAATCCAAACAACAAGGGGTCCCATGGAAAAAATTACTTTGAGAGAACCAATCAAAGCTCAAGCCAACTTCTGTGCGAATACTGCACTAACAACGGGCTCCTTTCTAAACCAGTGTGTCACAGCTCTCCCTCACTGTGTACCACGTAAGTCGCGTCAGCCAGGATACCCATATTACATTACATGGTGCTAAGAAAGTGTGTATTCACATGGTATATACACTGAGTGTACCAAAAATTAGGATCAGCTTCCTAATATTGAGTTGCACCCCCTTTTGCCCTCAGAACAGCCTCAATTTGTCGGGGCATGGACTCTACAAGATGTCGAAAGCGTTCAACAGGGATGCTGACCCATGTTGACTCCAATGCTTCCCACAGTTGTGTCAAGTTGTCTGGATGTCCTTTGGGTGGTGGACCATTCTTGATACACACAGGAAACTGTTGAGTGTGAAAAACCAGTGCTTGACTCGGGCAGGAGCTCACCGGAACTGAGTACCAGCACCTCACATTTTCTACTGCTAGAGCTCCTGTTCCTCTTAGAATATTAGCTCAATAGTATCGTGGGGCTCCTGCACCTAAATATAAACAGTACCGGCACCCAAAATGAGTACCGACACCTATTTCAGACCAAGTCAAGCACTGTGAAAAACCCAGCAGTGTTGCAGCTCTTGACACACTCAATCTGGTGCGCTTGGCACCTACTACCATACCCCGTTCAAAGGCACTTAAATATTTTGTCTTGCCCATTCACCCTCTGAATGGCACACATACACAATCCATGTCTGTTGTCTCAAGGGTTAAACATCCTTCTTTAACCTATTTCCTCCCCTTCATCTACACTGATTGAAATGGATTTAACAGGTGACATCAATAAGGGATCATAGCTTTCACCTGGTCAGTCTATGTCATGGAAAGAGCAGGTGTTCCTAATGTTTTGTACGCTCAGTGTAGGCCAGTATTACAGTGTAGGTTGACATTGTTGCATTGTAGCCTACCATAGCCTGTGACAATTTATTTGCAGAATTACAGAATAACATGTTAAAGTGTATTAAAATTAAATTGTGGTTAGACCTTCTCTTACATGAGAATTATATCCATTGTGAGTTTATTTGCAAACCTTTGAAATTGGGCAAACCCACAAACAGGTATATAATTTGCAAAGAGGTATGTAACAACGTATACACAATGTAAGTGCCTATGTAATTACGACGTAAATCATTTACATATGTAACTTTGAATGCCATTTCCATACAGGATTTACCCAAAAGGCTCAGACTTTTCTGTTCTATCTATGTGGACCAGCACTCGTGTCTCACTGGGCCATGGATCCAGCAGAACTGCTCTCACTAAGCCAGGCCACTGGTCCTATTCAGCTGGCATTACATAACAATGGCTAACTGTGAACTTTCACACCTTCTCACAAAGCAACTGTTACAATTATGCAGAGGTTGTTGATTCACAAGCTATTAGCTATGGAAACACAATTTCCCTAGAATAATATATGGGTGTATACACTATTGTAACACTGGTGTTACAGTCGAAAAGCAGTGTAAAGAGGGACTATTTGTTGTAACACTGGTGTTCACAGTCGAAAAGCAGTGTAAAGAGGGGCTATTTGTTGTAACACTGGTGTTACAGTCGAAAAGCAGTGTAAAGAGGGACTATTTGTTTTTCATCCCAATAAGAGACAAAAGGAAATTGGTTTCAGCCACCAGAGGGCTACAAGACAACAGTCCTTCTGGTACTGTTTGTTACAGGCTAGTGTCACCAACCCTGGACAGCCACCAGTGTGCATCCCAACACCAACACACCTGATACCCAACTGTAATACATTGGATAGGCCTAATATTTCAATAATACATTTAATAATAATACACTCTACAGTTAATTCAATTTCAGTAAGCAGATCGAACTGAAAAGTGTCATATTTCTCGAGAAAACTAAATAGGCCTCCTGGAATAAAATGAAAGCTATATATAACACATAATGAATAATAAGGCTATTCCCCCACTTTCTGCAAGTGTTGTGATGATCCATCAGGACGTTCTGCGGCAGCTGCGCACGCTGTCATCCCAGACTGGAGTTGAAATATGAGGGGGGGAATAGCCTTATTATTATTCCGTAGAAGCTGAATTGGAGGATTTCCCACACAAGAAACGGAGTAAACGCAAAAAGAGGCCACCAAACCCCTACTTCTCCCCCGGTGACAACTCCTCACATTCCGGTGGGTCTTCGCCCGTTATTCGCGAAGCCTGCAATGGGCTACAGACGACAGCGGCTTCATAACGGGTTTGTCGGCAGATATTCTTGCTGCAGCTGTCCTTCCGAGAGCCAGGAGGACAGTCTCGCTTGTATATTTCAAGACAGCGGGCCTAACCAATGACTGTGCCCACGTTCGTCCTTCGCTCTTCACTTCAGTGTGGCTACATTCGGCTGAGTAAATCCTGGGAATACATTGACCATTTAAATCCAATTTGATATATTTATAGCAGTTCTGACATCTGACATCAGACATTTTGATGGTGTACGTTTTTATTGTTCCCTTGAACGGATATAATGGAGTGAATTGCACGAGGGGAGCGACAGTCAGCAGTTTTCTTGCGTGTGATGATAGGAGACACAATGACGCTGTTGTCTCTTTTGGGTCGGATCATGCGTTATTTCCTCCTGAGGCCAGAGACATTGTTTCTGCTATGCATTAGCTTGGCCTTATGGAGTTACTTCTTCCACACGGACGAGGTGAAGACCATAGTCAAGTCTAGCCGGGATGCCGTGAAGATGGTGAAGGGGAAAGTGGCGGAGATAATGCAGAACGACAGGTTGGGGGGCCTGAACGTCCTAGACGCGGAGTTCTCCAAAACCTGGGAGTTCAAAAATAACAATGTAGCAGTGTACTCCATTCAGGGGCGGCGGGACCACATGGAGGACCGCTTCGAGGTGCTCACCGACATCACCAACAAGAGTCATCCGTCTATATTCGGGATATTTGACGGTCACGGTGGTGAGGTAGGTATCAAAGGTGTGGGTGCCTTTCAAAAACACAGCCTAAAATAGGCCTGAACGGTCAGCAATCATTAGCATAATCTTCCTCGGAGTTGGTCATTTTAGGGGATTTGAATCTGGATTGGATATCCCCGGCCTCAAATCAATTTAAGAGTATGTTTATTGATTTTAATCTGACTCAATGGATCTCAAAACCAACATGGCTAAATGTGAAAAACCCTGTTAACTCCTCATTGATTTATTTAATTATTACTAATAACTACCATAAATATTTGTCTAGTGGAGTAACGTTATTTGCACATGATCTCAGTGGTCATTGTCCCATAGTATGTATTAGAGATAAGAAACCGATAAATACTCATCATTTAATTAAGAAAACAAATGTTAAAACGTTTTCCCCTCAAGGGTGAAGTAGACATGACATGTTCTACTCTGATTTAGCCACTTTCTCCTGTATTCCTGGCCCTAGGTTGGCTCTAGAAAAGGTATCCTCCATATTTATTCATTTGGCAGATAAACACACCCCTTTTAAACAGAGAGAAATATAGATCTAATCCTTGGTTTTCTTCTGAGCGATCTGAGCTCATTCAAATGAGAAATCAGCCCTGGGCCAAGTCAAGGAAAACTATCTCTGTAGTGGACTGGCAATCTTTCAGACAATTGAAAAACATATGTACTGTCTCAATTAAGAAAGCAAAACCAAGCTACTTTTTAAGCTCTATCTTTGACTCTGCTGGTGATCTTTCAAAATGTTGGAAAACAGTAAATACACTGAAGTGTACACATTCCTCTTCTTCCCTGCCTAAGCAAGTTCTGTCTGACTCTGGTATCATAACTGAGAAGAAGGGGATAAGTGATGCTTTTAATCATCATTTTATCTCTGCAGGCTTTTTATTTGAGAGAAACTGTGGTTTAATTGACCCTGGTCAGTCAATCAACTGCTCTTCCCTCTGCCAGCCTCTAGCTGATTCAACGGTTAACCTGCCAACTTCTAGTGAATCTTTGTTTTCATTTCAACAATTTACTATCTGTGATGTGCTAGATGCCTTGCTTAAGATTGATGTAAAAAAAAATCCACGGGGCTGATATGCTTGATCCATTTTTGCTGCAGCTCTCTGCCCCCCTGATTGCTGAATCATTAACCCATATTTTTAACTTGATGATTATATCTGGTACTATCCCCAAGGTTTGGAAGGCACCCCATGTACTCCCCCTTCACAAAGGTGGTGACCCTTGTGACCTAAATAATTATCTCCCTATTTCTTAACTTTCTTGCCTAGCTAAAATATTAGAATCCTTGAATAATTCTCAGCTAAGATCTTTCTTATCTTTGAAATGTATTCTAAGTCGGGTTTTAGACCAGGTCATAGTACTATCTCTGCTGCATTACTAGTTATAAATGATGTGGTTAACTGTATGGATAAAAGGCAACATTTTGCTGCCCTCTTCATTGACCTGTCAAAGGCTTTCAATACTGTTGATAACACTGCTAATTCAGAGGCTCTCCTCAATTGGCCTAGACCAGGCTGCATGTAACTGGTTAAAAAATTACTTGACAGATATAACTAAATGTGTATCTACTGATGGTGTTAATTT